GAAATGGGCTTGTTCATGTTCTTCTGAGTCCTTATCTTAACTGAAGGAAGATCGTAACCATGTACAATCAATGGGTATTAATACAACTATCAGTAGGGACCACCCCACAGCCTAATGGTTATGTGATCCAGATCTCACATGGCCAACTGTGGTTCAAATCCCAGCCCTGGTAGCCTATAAAACACACATGCATGCATGTCCAAGGTCCCAACAGGAAGGGGAATAAAGGAGACAGAATTGTCATGGCCATGCTCCGTTGGGGAATGTTTTCTTCCCCACTCTCTCCCTCTCTGGTGAGTGTACATGCTCTTTGGCAATTTAAAAAAGAAGAAAAACTAGGGAAATTGGTTCTTCAAATTCCATGACTCCACAGAATCCGGAGTTGACAGAACAAGAAGAATGGGACAGGATTAAGAGAGGTAAAAGCACAGCAAGTGTGCCAAATCTTTACCTGTCAGAGTGACGAGTCCAGAGTTAAGAATGATGACAAAAAAACAATGCATATTTTTAGGTGTTACCCTATAGAATGACAGGATTGTTTAACAGTATTACTTTTGGTTTGCAGAGCAGATGGGGTATGACTTTTTTGCTTTTAATTTAATACCACTCAGCACCGGGTTTTGTTGTTGTTTGTTTGCTTTTGGCCAGAGGACACAATCACTTTCCAGAAAGGTGGAGAGAGAGAGAAAGAATCCCCCAATGGAGCATGTCATGTCAAAATCCTTTTTCCTCTATTTCTTCATCCACTCAGAATTTTGGGCAAGCATGCACATGTACCTGGCATGTTTTTCAAGCCACTGGGGCTACGATTTGAACAATAGTCATGTGAGATCCGGCCCCCTCCACAAAATGCTTAACTGCTGCATTACAGGGCCAGCCCTGATTTACTGATTATAGACAATAAATGATAGATAGATAGATAGATAGATAGATAGATAGATAGATAGATAGATAGGTAGGTAGATAGATAGATGATAGATAGATGTAATGGATGGATGGGTAGATGAATAGATAGATAGATGATAGATAGATGGATAGATGGATGGATGGATAAATAGACAGACAGCAAAGGCACAGGCCCTGATTGGAATATGGGGGAACCACTTTTTCATGTCTTCTGATCTGTAGAACTCTAAGCCCTTTTCTACCCTGACCTGTATGACTTACATCATCCTCAGTTTGTGGTGTGTGTGTGTGTGTGTATCAAACATACATGCATTACTTTTTTCAAAGTTTCTTGATTTTTCTCAAATCTCAGAATTGAGTAGACAAAATAATGGTATAACAAATGGACACATTGATGATATTTCTGTCAGCAAAAACATGGATCCCTGGACTATGGCGGTTTTCCACTTTAATCCAGATGGTCAATTGCCAACTCGATTGGCAGTCAAGCAATGTTAGGTCTTTGCTGCAATGCTAGAAAATAAACTGAATACAACCCAGTGGGCTAGAGAGAGTTTGGCCAAGCTGTTTTATTGTTAAGGCATATTTCCATTAGTAAAAACAAAGTAAAAAAAAGTGATAAATGTTCTGACCCTGAGTACAATAGATGGACTCCCTATTTTCAACTAGAATAAGAATAGCCATTTCTTAAATGACAGCAAACCTGTTAGCACCAATTTTTAAGTCTTCATTTGAACATACAATGTGCAATTATAAGACACAATGGGAGAATTGTTAACAAAATTATTTAACAGTGTCTCTCGGCAATTAATAGAGAGCCTCTTAAAATATAGTAGGTGGTTTAATATGCACTTATATTATTCTTAACTAAGTCTGAAAAGTGCTAGTGTGTGCCTCAAAATTTTAATAATACCCATTTTGTTAGTTATTAGCAAGAACTATTTTTAAGAATAGACATCTTAAGCTTTTCATATTACAGCTTATTCTGCATATTAAAAAAGGCAGGAATACTAATGCAAGTGGACAGTTAGAGATTTTGAGCAGAAGTTTTACCTCTTACCTACATTCTCTTAGGGAAATCTTTGGTCACTTTGCTTGAGTCTGTGTAGAAATAAGTAATCCTAGGGGACTTCCACTACTTCCCTTGAAAGACTTTCTTAGCCTACTCAAGAGGAAATCTGGGCATTATTAAATCTTGACTCCTACACATCCTCCTGTGAGACTCATTAAAATGGAAAATTGTGGGTATGGAAAGGAAGTGTCGGTAGCCTAAAATTTAAATTTACAGGAAAATTAGTGCTGCACTGATTAGATATAGTAAGTTGGATACTATAGCTACAGTAACTTGGATAGGATATATACTATTGAGTTGTCAAAAGTCATGATGCATTGGGAACTAGCAGTTAGCATAATGGCTATGTCGCTGGACTCCCACGTAGTCGACCGCGGTTCGTGTCCCGGACCCGGTGGCTTAAAACTCACACCGGGCACGTGTGCGTGCGTGCCCAAGATCCCGAGAGGAGAATGGAGGAGAAGGGACTGCGGCGTGACCATCCCCCCTGGGGGGTGATTTCTCGCTTTCTGTCTCTATGTCTCTCTCTGCCTGTCTGGAGAGCGCACGTGCCCTATAGCGAAAACCTCTCAAAAAAAGTATATATATATGCAGTTCTGGAGCAATATACAGCAAATCAAGGGAGACGTCTTAAACACTTTGAAAACCACTTAACAATAGTAGCATACCACTTAGAAGTCACTCAAAAAATTCTACTAGACAACACTTTGATAGGCTGCTGCTTGTTTTTTTTGTTGTTGTTGTTAAGTTTTTTTGTTTTTTTGTTTTTTTGTGTTTTTTTGCTCTAGGGCGCATGCGCTCCACAGAAAGACAGAGAGAGACAGAAAGCGAGAAATCACCACCTGGGGGGGATGGCCACACCACAATCCCTTCTCCTCCATTCTCCTCTCGGGATCTTGGACATGCACGCACATGCGCCCAGTGTGAGTTTGAGCAACCGGGTCCAGGACTTGAACCACGGATGACTACATGGGAGCACAGCAACATAGCTATTACGCAACTACTGGTGCCAATAGGCTTCCTTTTAATATGAATTCTTGAAAGCAATGAAAGAGCACTAGATTTAAAATCAAATGACCAGGCAATAATTGGGGAGAAATATATATAATAGATATCAGAAAACGGTTAATATTTTTAGGAAGAAAAAGAAGAGACATTCTCCTGTCTCCTACCTTCACCCTAATCCATCTCCGCACCCCCACCCCAGCCCCAATCAGGCAGTTCACAAAATAAAAATATATGGAAAAATGTCAGATTCATACTAATAAAAATCATGTAAGTTCAAATAACTAGAACTTTTTGTTCCCTACAAATAGGCAACATATTGTTTTAGGTTAAAATACAGGAATGATGAAGGCACCATTATAAACTGCTAGTGAAAGTTCAAAATGAAATAAACCTTAGGAAAACAAGTTGGAATTATGTCTTTAAATTATGGTATATTGGGAACCAGCAGTTAGTGTAATGGCTATGTCACTGGATGCCCACGTAGTCGACCGTGGTTCGCGTCCCGGACCTGGTGGCTTAGAACTCACGCTGGGCACGTGTGCGTGCGTGCCCAAGATCCCGAGAGGAGAATGGAGGAGAAGGGATTGCGGCGTGACCATCCCCCCAGGGGGTGATTTCTCGCTTTCTGTCTCTATGTCTCTCTCTGTCTGTCTGGCGAGCGCACGCGCCTTATAGCGAAAATCTCTCCAAAAAAAAAAAAAATTATGGTATATCTGTTTACTAGAATATTTTGCAGTCATAAAAAGAATTTTATAGAAGTTTTTAAGAGACATGAAGAGTTGTTTATGGACAACATAACAAAACATAAGTACAGAATAACGACCTTTTGTCAATTACATGAAACACAATCCGTGCATAATTTACAGGCTTTTATATATTTAACAAGAACTTTCAGGAATACATTAGAGCACAGCACATTGCTACTACCCTCAATTCTCATTGATTTTGCTAACTTTGGCAGAAGGTTAGCTTGGACACTCAAGCTAATTTCCTTCTAATGAAATATGGATGCTCTGAGATAAATAAAAACATACTTCAGTTTTAGATTTTGCATTATGAAATAAGGGCTCCACTAAGCATTCCTTGAAAGTCCCTGAATATTTTGATTGCTATGTGTCTTTAACTTTAAATATTATAATATTAGTTAGCTAACTACAAAATGTCAAAATATATCTAATGGCACAACTGTCAAAAGCACACGTAGGGGGTCGGCATGTGGTGTGGTAGCTAAGGTGTACTCTCTCGTTGCTGACCATAGTTCAAGTGCTGAACCTGAAGGCTTATTTTCTCACTTTCTCTCTCTGGTGAGCACACATGCCCTATCGAAAATCTTAAAATAATAATAATAAATAAGTTTTTTTTAAAAAAAGCATACTTATGAAACACCACCAAAAAAACAGGAAGAGATATTATGGATCTTTGTGCTGAATTGATTTCCAACCACTTATAGGCAAAACAAACACAAAAACACCATAATCTGTACTCTTCATATCACCTCTTTCTACGAGTGGACCATCCAGAGAAGCAAATTGAGTAAGACAAATCTCTTCTGGATTCAAGAATTGTGAGCCAGTTACTTAAATTCATTGTGCCTTGGGTTCCTAATCTGCCCAATAGGATAATATTATTATTTACCTCAAGGATTGACCTAAGGACTAAATTAGTCACTCTGTGAAAAAAATCTTAGATCATTATTTGGCACGTAGTATCTCAATAAATGTTACTTTTTATAATTATCAGCATAAAACTACTACTAAGAAGTATTACACTTTTAAATGTTTGTTATTATTATTTATGTAAGAGTATATATAAGTAGTAGCACTTATGTGACTTAAGGAGGAATTCTAAAAACGAGAAAAAAGTAACTTCAAGATAATATTGCTTAAAGACAAAGATTTAAAATAGCTTCTAGAATTAATCATTTATACTCCATTGGTGTTGCTTTGGTGCAGTGGAACCTAGGAGTTAGTAGGGTTCTAGACGATTTGCCTTGAGCTGAATGGAAGAACTCCGAGAACAAGTGGCTCAGTCAGTTAAAGGTGCCATGTATTTTAGAACTCAGGAAAACGAAAGGTCAGTGGTAGAACCACTTGCACTTTCTGAAGTTCAAATTGCCAGATTCAGATACGCCACCAGATTTTCTGCATAAATTAGCAACCATCTTGGATCTTTCTGGGAAATCATTGTTTTTTAAACTCAATTTTAAACCAACCCAAGTGATAGGGAATATATATTTTTAGTTCTTTGTCTTTTCTCATATATTTTTCCTTCTCTAAAGTGTGAAGAGTTCTTGAATCTCTAAAAATCAAATAATTCGCTTTGGAATCTTCTCAGGAAAGCGATCGTGCTGCTCAACAATACATTTTTAAAATACAAGCCTTAAAGTTTGTGATAAAGGCCAGGCCTGGCTGAGAGAAGCTGTCAGCTGTGGCAGCCTCCTGTCCCCTACACAGTAGTAGCGGAATGGTAAGAGCCTTCCTTTTTTATATGGGTGGAAAGGGGAGAGAGGGTGGAGGCTGGGGAACAGAGGACAGCATGGCTGCGTTTCTCAGTCTTGCCACATGGACAAAAAAAAAAGAAAGAAAGAAAGAAAAAGGTTAAAGTAAAAGAAGAAAAGTTACTGGATAGACTGTCAACATTTTAAAAATTAATTAAAAACAAACAAACAAAAACCACCTAGAGCATAAATAGGGCTTCCCAGGGGACACAAACAAAAGTGAGACAAGAAATTGGAGAGAAGATTCTCATTTCTGTAAGGACCAAGAGGAGCCCAGTCCCTACAGGCAAGCTAAGTGGGCCTCTTGGGAGACCAGAGATGTCACTTGGGCGCAGAAGCGAGTATTCTGTGATGTGATCACAACTCCTTCAGTGTTCTGTCCCAGGCCTCATTATCAGCACTCCCTAGGGAAGAGGACAGTATAAAATCACAATGAAGCCCCTATGTTTTAAACTTAGACAGTCTAGGTTCACATCAAAATTTCAAATCAAAGGAAAATCAAAGTTTTCCTTCTACCTCACTGGCCATTTATTTTCAAGCCGTTTCTATCTCTTCCTGCTGTGCTAAACTCCCTCGTTGCAGCAGGGTTTCTCAACAATCCGGGCAAGACTAGGTATTGTTTGAACTTCCAACCCAGTGCAGACTGATACTGCTGTAAAATGCAATAAAAACTAACACCAAAACAATGCAAAAAAAGGTATACAAAATGCAAGTGATCAATTGCTACGATTGCTTTAAAACTTTCTAAAGTTCACTCTCAATTTCTGCTTTTATCTCACTGCAAATTTTTGCATTTATTGCACTGCAAATTTCTGCTTTTATCTCAATGCAGATGTAGCAGGCAGGACAAGGGAGCAGCTCCAGCCTGTGGACCGCCTCTGAGCAGCATTGCTCTAGAGACTCTGTCTCCATCTGTGTGCTCTTCCTAGGTCAGGTCCTCAGGATTTATGCTGACAAATCCTTGACTGAAAGCTCTCCCTTCACCCTCTCCTGAAAAAGAGAACTGGGTGTCCAGCTGCTTGCCTAACCACCCCTCTCGGAGGTGTCAGAGATATCTCAAATTAGCAAGTGCAAATAAACTCCAATGTTATCCTCACCCCAAAACCTGTTCTATTGAGCTCTCTCTCAAGATAAGCAGAAATAGAATCACAAGACTCTCCCTGACCCAAGGTGTTCTCCATCCCTCAGTCTCCATTCACTCTACCAGCAATCCCTGTCAACTCTCCTCCAAAATATGCAACAAATCTGGCTGCCACTCCCAGTGCCCTGCACTCCTCGAAGTCACCATCCTGTCCCTCCATCACTGAAAAGTACCCTCTGTCCTCTACATCACTGAAAAGCACCAAGCTCAGCCTGGTGGCACAGCTGGTAGCTGGTAGCTGAACTGCAGAGCTGGAAGCCACACGGCTGACTGCAGATCTGGATCCCTAGGTCAGCTTCAAAACACGCTGGGCACACATGTCCAAGATCCCGATGAGCTAGAAGGCAAGGAAAGGGGGATTGCAGCGTGACAAGACCTGTCAAGGATGTTCTCTCTGTTTCTGTCTCTTTCTCATGCTCTCTATCATGAATAAAACAACAAAAAATGCAATTCAGATTTTGCCCTGCTTTCTCTCCCAGCTATGTATAATCAACTTTCTCTAAAATAACAAAAGTAAAGTTTTAAAATGTGAATCAGGTCACATCATGTCCCTGCTTAAAACCTCCCAGTGGGTTTCATCTGTGACAATAAAATCAAACTCTTACTTCGGCACGGGAGACCCTACGTGGCTGGACTCCAACTACTCCTCATGGGTAGCTACGTGTCAGTCATAGGCACTTTCATTCTGTTCTTGAAACAAGCCACATCCCTTCCTGCTTCGGGACGTTGCCAGCTGCTGTCCTTTCTGCCTGTAACACTTAGTCTCGAGGTCTTCAGGTGGCTGGATCCTCGTGTTCAGATCTCAGCTCCAAGGTTCCTTCTCCAAATGGTTTCCCCTGATACCTCCAAAGATACCCATCCACACTCCAATCATTCTTTCTCACATAACAAGATTGACTTTCTTCACAGCTCTTAGCATTATTTGATATTATCTTTCTTGTTTCTTGTTTACTTGTCTATATACTCCTCCTCTCTCCATTTTCCAACAGATCACAAATCTCTGAGACAAGAGGTCCCTAAGAAAGCTGATCGCAGCTACAGTGTAGCACTTGAACAGTCCTAAAACACGGTTCTCAAAAAAAAACTGAATTAATAGATCAGTGATTCCAAGAAATACCACTTAAAACCATAAATCTTTAATTTCAGTGCTTCCACTTTCTCCTCTATAAAATGGAAATTCTAATGCCTGCCCACCTGGTGGCTGTGAGGATTCACTTGTTCATACTGTAAGAAGAAGCCCTCATGCATGCTCACTGGCTGGTTGGCCCTGGGGTAGCTTGGTATGTATTTGCATTTATGTCCTTCACCCTAATACATTAATCTAAGTTTGCAGATATCTGGATAGAACCTGGAGTTTTATTAGATTTATTTATTTTTGCCATGAGGTGGATGCACTTGCCAGAGAGAGAGAGAAAAAGTAAGAAAGCAAAGCATCCCCTGAAACCATTCCATGGGGAATGGTTATGCCATAATCCCTTCTCTATTTCTTCCTCCTTTCGGGATGTTGGGCACCCATTACACGTTCCCAGCATGTTTTGCAAGCCACCAGGTCCAGAACTCATCCCGGTGGATCCAGCCACCTTAACCACCATGCCCCAGGCTGACCCCCTAGAATTTTACACCTAGAAAGAACTTTGACAGCCCACTATTTTTCTCAAATATAACATATAGAACGTAAGTCCAGTTTTAGGATCTTTTCAAAGGAAACAGGTGATAAACAATTACGCCATTTGTGTACCATTCCAACTACACTAAAAGCACTACAGAAACTAAAACATGCATTCTCTCTGATAAGTCCCCTAAACTCATCCTTTCATACAATTCACAGAGATTGACACATTTACACCAAGACTAATAAAGTTCTCTCTCTAGAGTTATTAGAAATCAACATTTTCCTGAGACCAGCAGTTAGCATAATGACTATGTCACTGGACTCCCATGTAGTGGAGTGCGGTTGGAGCCCGGACCCAGTGGCTTAAAACTCACGCTGGGCACATGTGTGTGTGTGCCCAGGATCCCGAGAGTAGAATGGAGGAAAAGGGATTGTGGTGTGGCCATCCCCTGGGGGGTGATTTCTAACTTTCTGTCTCTGTCTTTCTGGTGAGCGCACACGCCATATAGCAAAAAAATTCTCAAAAAAAAAAAAAAAAACAGTCAACGTTTTCCCTTCTCAACCCACTTGATCTTGCCAACCTTTTAGAATATATCCAGGGACCAATAAGATGGCATAATGATTACGTCTGTGGACTCCCATGTAGTCAGCAGTGGTTTAAGTCCCAGGCCCGGTGACTTAAAATTCATGACCGGTTAGTGTGTGTGCATACTCAAAATCCCAAGAGGAGAATGAAAGAGAAGAGACTGCGGTGTGGCCATCCCCCCTGGGAGGTGATTTCTCGCTTCTTGTCTCTCTGTCTCTCTGGCAAGCACAGGCATCCTCTAGCGAAAATATCTCTAAAAAAAGAAAAAGAATATATCCAATCAAGAGCGAGGTTATTTGAGTAACATCCCACTCTGAAAAATTATGTTTATATTTTATTCTTTGATGTATTTTTATCATGCTCTTGTAAATCTGTTTATCGCCAATTTCAGTTGAATGAACAGGGAATTGGGCCAGATTAGAAGTCTCTTGCCAGTATGGTTCCTGAGAATACATTACGGATATTAGAGAAGGGAAGATAATCACAATTCAGAATTCCCTGGGGTGCGGAAGCTCCTCCTTTCAATCCCCTTGTTTGAGAAACAGGGAGTTGTAACAACACATAAAGAAACAGGCATGCATCTGTACAAATTGGTTGTCTCTCTTTTATGTCTGAAAAGAAGGGAAATTATGAGCATTTGTAAAAACTGTTTCTGTGAGACTTATTATTACAATAAACTGCATTTCTGCCTTTCAATCCGGCGTTTTCTATGTGATTGCTTTAACTGGACCAAATGCGCAGGAAGACAGGCAGAGGCCCTTCCAATTCCTCAGTCTTCAGACAGGGAAACACTAACCCCATTGACTCGTAAGAGGTTAGCACTTGGGAACCAGCAGTTAGCGTAATGACTGTGTCGCTGGACTCCCATGTAGTCGACTGCAGTTCGCATTACGGACCCGGTGGCTTAAAACTCAAGCCGGGCGCATGTGCGTGCGTGCCCAAGATCCCGAGAGGACAATGGAGGAGAAGTGATTGCGGCATGACCATCCCCCCTGGGGGGTGATTTCTCGCTTTCTGTCTCTATGTCTCTCTCTGTCTGTCTGGCGAATGCACGCTCCCTGTAGCGAAAAAAAACCTCTCCAAAAAAAGAAAAAATAAATAAAGAGGTTAGCACTTGACATGATTGATCAGAAAATAGTTTATGAAACCTGAAGAGAAGTACAATGCAGTAGAATTGCTAGTAAATAGGCAGATCACAAGGACAATGAAGAGAAAAATTATCCAATTTCCCACTGCTGTCAGTTTTCTGAAAGCAAAACTACAGTCTAGACTGTGGCATTACTTCATCATTGACTTCACATTAAGAATTCGAAGAAGCAGCCTATTTGGATCATAAGTATCTGATGGCCTAAATACAGGAAGTACCTGTTTCTGTTAGTCGGCTATATTCTATGAGATCAGGTGAGGAAAAAAGTTCAGGGTTGCAGTCAAATGTTATTTAAGGGTTAATTATCCAATCTGAGAATGGTTTAGACAATAAATGATCTCTCATCCCAAGTCCTTTTTTCTACTTTAGTTCCTGCTTTGGCTGGTCCTGTCGCTTAGAAATCACTTTTCCCTCATGCTTCCTCCCCTAAACCAAAGCTTCTTTCTTCTCGATGCTGGCTGATCTAAGCTAAATCAAAAGAAAAACAATCAGATTAAACTAACTCGTATATAAGACCTTCCCATGAGATTGCATTTTGAAATAGGATGTTAGTTAATCCAACCCGATCTTTGATCAGTGTAACTCCAGGCAACATAGCAAGGTGGAAAAAAAAAAAAAAAAAAGATTTTTAAACTTGCAAATTATGCCCACTGCATACAATAGCCTTGCTCCTGCTTCATGGCCATGACTAGAATAACAATGACCAGAATTCTATTTTTTTTTGTAGGGGGTAGGTGGAGGTGAGCAGGCGGGGGAAATATATACTTGCAGGGGAGAGAGACAGACAGTGAGAGAGAAAGTGAGAAATCACACCACCACCACCACCACCCCACCCCGAGGGAGAATGCCACACTGCGATCCCTTCTCCTCCATCCTCTTCTTGGGATTTTGGGCATGCAAGCACATGTGCCTAGAGTGAGTTTCAAGTCTCTGGGTCCGGGACTCAAACCACAGTCGGCCATGTAGGAGTCTAGCACATTAACTACTCTGCCCACCTGCTGGCCCTGACCACTCTACTTTTTTTGGTGAAAGGTTAATATGACTGGCAAACCTCTCTTCACTTGACTAATACAATGATAACGGTTTTTAAAAATGCAATAAGGGAAGTGAGGAAAATAACTGATCCTCTTCAAGCACTTGCTATACATGAAGTATGTGACACTGATTATTCTGTTTACACTTCTATGTTTATGGAATAATTACTGTCATTATTTGTCTGAGGCTAGGAAGTGTCACTGAAATTTACACAGCCAGTAAGTGGCAGAGGCGGAGTCTGAACTCAAAGACTCATGCTCTTTTTGTATACCTGCTGTCATATAGCCTCAACTCAAGAAATATTTATTACATGCCTAGTAGGTACAAGGCACCATACTCAAATTTAAAGAATGGGCAAGACACATAGTGAAATCTTACAGACCAGTGTCTGAGTCCTGGCCCTGCTATTGACCGACATTAGGAAAGCTGCTCAACATCGCTCAGCCTCATTCTCATCTTTAACATGATAATAACATAAACTGCATAGGTGATAATGTTTATTATGTGTAAAGAACTGTCCTGAATTCCTTGTCTGTATGAACTGCCATAATTCTCTCAACAGCTTTATGAGACACCTGCTATTTATGGACGCGAGAATGGCATAGAGAGATGAGGGCCCTTGCTCAGGGTTACCAGCTGTGGTAGCACTCACTGGTATTTGAACCCAGGCACCTAAGCACTCCAAGGCTGAGTAGCAATGAAGAACCTATTGTCTTAACTACAAGGCTGTTCTGCTTCACTGCCTGACACATGGTGAGCATACAATGAATGGTAACGTAAATATATTTCCTTTCTAAGTATGAGGATTACACTTAGAACAACTACCTAAATCTCTATAACACAAGGAAGATTATTACGCAAGATGAGAGTCTCCAAAAGAGCAGAGGTCTCTCCAAAGTTTTCATGGCATATAAAGCGGACCTTGAAAAACACCAGACATTACTTTGTCAGAAATTGGTGAAGAAAAGGGCATTTCAAGTAAAAAAAAAAAAAATTAAATGTACTGTTGTGTTTGGCACCAATGAACAGTCTTTATTCACTTAAGAAAAAATTACAGAGATGGGGCCAGGAGGTGGTGCAGTGGTTAAGGCACTGAACTCCCATGTGGACAGCCAAGGTCCAAGTCTCTGACCCTGTGGCTTAAAACTTATGCTGTGCACATGTGCATGTGTGCCCAAAATCCCAAGAGGACAATGGAAGAAAAGGAATTGCAGCATGGCCATACCCCTTGTGGGGGGTGTTGATTTCCTTTTTTCTGTCTCTCTGTCTCTTCAGCGAGTACAAGCATCCTATAGCAAAAAAAAAAAAAAAAAAAAAAACTCTCAAAAAAAATTCAAAGCCAGAATAGTTAAGTGGACCATCAATATCATGAAGAACTTTGATTACTGGGGCCAGCAGGTGACGTGGTGGTTAAGGGCGTTGTACTCGCACATGGCTGACCACAGTTCGAGTAGTGGATCTGGTGGCTTGCTTTCTCACTTTCTATCTCTCTTGGTATCTCTCATTCTGTTCCTCCCTGTTCAAGTTAAAATAAATAAATTAAATTAAATTAGATAATTCAAAAAAAAAAAAAAAGAGCTTTGAATACTGAAGTCAAAGAATCTGAAGTCAATTCAAGAAGCCATGGAAGGGCATTAGAAGCTTTTAGCACAGGGAGCCAGACGATCAAGGCCAACCTATAGAAAATCAGTTTAGAAGTCTCTGCTGTGCACTCCCGTCTCCCAGTTCTGCTCACTGTGTATGCATGTCCAGGGAAGCGATCTCGTCCCTCCTGTGCTTGAGTGATTTGCAATTCGATGGAAATCATGAGCTAAGTTTGGAGAAGTCAGCTAACTACATCTATCTCCATTATTTTTTAGCTTTTAAAAAGCATCCAGAGTGTCAAACAGACATGAAATTAGATACCACTCTGGTTGGCCAGGTTACAATATGCAATCTATACAAAAGTTATCCAGAAGGGAAAAGGAGGTTTAATTCTGCAAGGATGCTTTTACTGTCAGATATACAGAGACTGCCACAAAAGACAACAATGAAAGTGTTATCTCTGCATGTTTTGCAGTCTCGGGCCTTCAGAATTCCTATTTTCTGTGTGTCTCTCTGCTCTGTTCGATATGTATGCATGTCCAATACATTCATCTCTTCCCTCCATTTTGTCTGCTTTCAAAAAAATTCATGAAACCTACTGGTGCATATTACAAAAAAAAAAAAGACAAGGAGCCACTGGGGGGAGGGGGAGGAAATTAAGAGAGATTTTTGCTATAGGGCCTTGTGTGCTCACTGGAGAGACAAAAAGAGTGACAGAGAGACAGAAAGCAAGAAGTCATCCCCCACCGGGGGACTGCCACACCGCAGTCCCTTCTCCTCCAGCCTCCTCTTGGAATTTTGGGCACGCACACACACATGCTCAGCGTGATGCAGTCTCGGGCCTTCAGAATTCCTATTTTCTGTGTGTCTCTCTGCTCTGTTCGATATGTATGCATGTCCAATACATTCATCTCTTCCCTCCATTTTGTCTGCTTTCAAAAAAATTCATGAAACCTACTGGTGCATATTACAAAAAAAAAAAAGACAAGGAGCCACTGGGGGGAGGGGGAGGAAATTAAGAGAGATTTTTGCTATAGGGCCTTGTGTGCTCACTGGAGAGACAAAAAGAGTGACAGAGAGACAGAAAGCAAGAAGTCATCCCCCACCGGGGGACTGCCACACCGCAGTCCCTTCTCCTCCAGCCTCCTCTTGGAATTTTGGGCACGCACACACACATGCTCAGCGTGAGTTTTAAGCCACCTGGTCTGGGACTCGAACTCTGGTCGAATACATGGGAGTCCAGTGACCTAACTATTACAGCATCTGCTGATCCTGCCACTGAGATTTCTGACAGCAGGCATACCTGCACATAATCTGTCTCATGAGATTTCTCTCTAGCCCAAATAACATGCTAGAAGTACAACTGCCTAGAATTTAATTGATAAACCAGTCAAAATTCATGGGAACACTGAAAATATAATTTATCATCAGACATCTTGATTTCTGACCATGGTAACGCCCTTCAGGGTGGTTATCTCGTTGTATAGTTCTTCCTTTCCGAAACCAGAAAAGGAAGGGGTTTGCCTTCCCCTAGTATTCATGCTCTCACTGCACCTAGTGTTCCAAGCCTCAGTTAGGCAACAACTGCTCATTTTCCACTGGCTACATTTGTTTCCTTCTTGTCTCGACAATGTAAGAGTAGGAAATAAATTTGAAAAAGACCTGTAGTACCGGATATACTCTTTGTGTGCTAACTACACATTCTAACAAAGCTATTTTATTCATACAGTAATTTATAAATTAAAGCAATAAGCACCACACACACAAATGCACACATGGCAAGGCCTGGCATCAAAAGTTAATTTTCGAGGCATTATTTGTGGGATTTTGTCTTACTCTCCTCACCCTAGTCTTCGCCCTAAGTGTGGGTACAAGCGCACACACATGTATAACACACCCCACAAAACCCAAAAACGACCACACATTGTAGAAATAAACAGGCCCAAAGCCACAGACCAGTGGTTCTTATGTTTTCTTTAAAGGTATATTCTGTTCAAGTTAACATTTAACTGAATGGGTTTGTCTCCTTAATATTCTCCAGTGGTTTTTATCCCACTCACAGAAGATAATCAAAGTCTTTAGGCTGGTTCATAGAACAGGACACCATCTCTCTGACCTCCTCTCCAACTGGCCTCACCACTTTATAAACACTCCCTGCACACTCCCAACTCAGAGCCTTTGCAATTGCTCTCACCCCCTGCACCCCACACTCACATGGCTTGCTGTCTCTCCACTTCTAAGTGTCTTCTCAATGGAGCCTTCCTTGATCACCCCCTCCCAGATTCTTTATCACCCTACCCTGCTTCATTATCTCTAGATGACCTGCCATCAGGTATGCTATATCTCTCACTTCCTTGTATTTTTGCTAGAGTGCTCGCTAGAAAGACAAGGAGGTAGAAAGCCAAAAATCACCCCCCAGGGGGGATGGCCCCACCACAATCCCTTCTCCTCCATTCTCCTCTCAAGATTTTGGGCATGCACGCACATGTGCCAAGTGTGAGTGTTAAGCCACCAGGCCCAGGACTCAAACCACAGTCAACCATGTGGGAGTCCAGAGTCAGAACCATTATAACATCTGCTGGTTCCTATAAATAAAATAATACAACTCAAAATGTAAGCTCCCTAGCAAGTTCCCATTGTCAAGAATTTTTTTAAGTATCTGTTTTGTGCACTGCTACAGTGACTGTCCCTAAGATAACAGGTACTTAATTGATATTTGTGGAATGAATGTACTAAGTGTTAGGCATTCAGAGATGACTAAGATACTGTGCCTACTATTCAGGTAGTAATGGTATTCCTAAATATTGTTCCCAAAATAAAGTCAAGCCTGTCTAATTCTCTCCACTAGGATCTTTGTCAGTCTGATGCTCGCGTTAACTTTACTGAATCATTACCACGCCCTCCTTAAATAAGTAAATTTAAACACTCTCAAATATGTGAATAATCTATTAGGTCATCAGAAAAGTCACGATGCATTTTTGCATAGAAAAATACGTCATGGCTTTTCTTCTGTCCCAATAGTTTGAGCAGAGTGCAAAACCCAAAGAAAGTCGAGGAAATACATTTGGAAAAGGCAGCTTAGGAAAGTAAAAATGTTGTTGATAATATCCTCAACAAAGCAGAAGGGGCATAGAATACAACCTGTCTACAATAGCTTCATTTGCCAACGTTTATAACCTCCAAAAACATTCTACTGAATTTTAAAAGTATATTATATACGACAACAGTTTCCTATAAGACATCTTTCTGCCAGCATCCTATAAATGAAATATGTCTCCACTAAATGTCATCCTCTTTTTTACAACCTAGTAAAACAATGAGAAAAAAATAATTTTTCAAAATAAAAGTTGTCCTACAGGTATTAAAGTCATATTTTACAGATTTAACATTCCAACATCAATTTCATAAAGAATATTTTCTCTTGAGCTAGTTCAATGTCCTAACAGTTAAGGGAGCTGGATCTCACGTGGCCAGCCACATAGTTCAAATCCTGGCCCTGGCAGCTTGAAAAACATGCCATGCATGTGTGTGCATAGGCCCAAAATCTCAGTAGGATGGAGAAACAGAGAACAGATTATAGCATGACCACATCCCATTGAGGGTTTTCTCTATGTATTTCTAAGTCTTTCTGGTTAATATGAGTACCCGCTGGCAATTAAGAAAAGGGGATAGGGGTAGCTGGTGGCATGGTAGTTAAGGTGTTGTACTCCCAGTACCTTAGTTGACTGCAAATTGAACCCTAGACTGGCTACTTGAAAATCAAGCCAGGCCTGTCTGTGTGTGAGCCCAAAATCACAAGAGGAGAATGGAGGAGAAGGGATTGCATCGTTGCCATCCCCTCCCCTACCCCTGGGAAATTTCTCACTTTCCCTTTCCCTATCTGTCTCTGGTGAGCACACACGCCCTATGGCAAAAACCTTAAACAAATTTTTTTGTTTTTTTTTGCTATAGGGCGCGTGCGCTCGCCAGACAGACAGAGAGAGACATTAGAGACAGAAAGCGAGAAATCACCCCCCAGGGGAAATGGTCACGCCGCAATCCCTTCTCCTCCATTCTCCTCTCAGGATCTTGGGCATGCACGCACACGCGCCCGGCGTGAGTTTTAAGCCACCGGGTCCGGGCCGCGAACCGCGGTCGACTACGTGGGAATCCAGCAACATAGCCATTATGCTAACTGCTGGTTCCCAACAAATTTTTTTTGAAAAAGAGTATTTTCTCCTACAATGAAAACAACAGTAGACATCATCTTTACTATAAAAAAGACAGTAAGTGTGTAAGAGCCTTTCCCAATTTCTCTATTAATAAATCTTTTCTTAAATGAGTAGGATGTTGTCTGATGTGACTATCATGATTCTGAAGACTGAAGTGCTTGATGGATGATCTGCTTTAGAATGAATCTATCAAAAGGAAGAGAAAGAGAAACATTCAGTCACTCGTGTTCTCTGATGCTTTCCTGTGAAGTCAAAGAACTGTCAGGTAAATGAGTGCTGCTCTGAATGAAAACCCAAACAGGACCATCTTCCAAGTTTGCATTTCCTACTTGCCAAATAAATATTTGACTGCTTTTATTGTTTGTTTGTTTTTATCTTTGTTTTGTTTTTTGTTTTTTTGTTTTTTGGGGTTTTTTTTTTATCAGAAATAACATTAGGAGGCATGGGAAAAAACAAAGAAGATACCGATATTGTCCTAGTCCTTTCCACCCCTACAAAAGATGGCATTTAAAGTTTGATAAGATAGCCTGATGTTAAGCCTTATCAGTCAATGTTTCTAAGTAAATTCAGTCAATAAACTTAATGAACATCATATGACACGCTCCAAGAGCATGGTAGGCATCTGTTAGTTCTGTTTAGCCCTATTGACTAGAATATGTTTATAACATAATTTAAAATGGTATACAAAAAGCAAACTCATGCAAAGGGGAGCAAAGCAGGACAATATTATAAGTATTCTCTTTCACCAGCAAACTTTCTTTTTTGTTGGCCTGAGAACATCGAACTCATCACAGGCTGCTTGGAAATTGCATCAGCTCTCCTAGTGAACCAAGAGCATATTTAATCACATCGTGCAAAGGCAAAAGTGACAAATAGCCCAAAATTTTCTTGCCATGACTTGGGATGGCAGCCAGTACCTTCCCTAAACCCTTTGCCCAAGTAACATTGTGTAAAATGCTGCCAATTTCTGCTCCTGTTTGCTGAAACTCTAGCCAAGATTAAGCATTACAGGAATTTAGTCAAAGTAAAATTGAGTCATCTGATCTGGGAATTCATTTTTAGTTTCAGGACTTGCAAGTGAAAGAGTCTCCCAAGATCATCTAGGGGATGATGGGAATAGGGAATGAGGCTCCTGGGGAGAGTCTGCTGTATGGTGTGCCCATGATCACACGGCTAGAGAAGAGCTCAAGCTAGAACTCAGGCCTCCCAACTCCTGGCCCAACTCTAGCCACTAGAATGGACTGCCTCCTGTTGAGCATCTGCCTTGTTGATTATTTTTAAGTGGGGGCATTTGAGTTCAACTTTAAATTAATTTTCAAGTTTCACTCTTATTTTGAGAGAGAAATAAAGATTTTTGCTATAGGGCACATGCACTCATGAGAGAGACAGAGAGATGGAGAGAGAAAGTGAGAAATCATGCCCTAAGGAATGGACATGCCATAGTAGTCCATTCTTCTCCCAGGATTTTGGGCACACACGCACACACACCCGGTATGAGTTTTAAGCCACCAGATCCGAGACTCAAACTGCTATGGGTCATGTGGGAGTCCAGTGCTTTACCACTACACCACCTACTGATCCCTAAAATTTCATTGTTTAACCAGGGTAAAAAATAAATCCAGATAAAAAGAAATAATTTAATATAATTAATTAAAATTTTTATTTAATTTAAACTTTTAAATATTTTACTATAATTAATTTAATATAAAAATAATTTAATATAACTAAATAAAATAAATGACTTTAAATAATTATTATTTAAAAATAAACAATCCAGGGACCAGCAGTTAGTGTACTGGCTATATCGCTGGACTCCCATGTAGTTGACCGCGGTTCGCGTTTCGGACCCTGTGGCTTTAAACTCACGCATCGGTTTCGGACCCTGTGGCTTAAAACTCACGCTGGGCGCATGTGCATGCGTGCCCAAGATTCCGAGAGGAGAACGGAGGAGAAGGGATTGCAGCATGGCCATTCCCCCTGGGGGGTGATTTCTCACTTTTTGTCTCTCTGTCTCTCTCTATCTCTCTGGCGAGCGCACACGCCCTATAGCAAAAACCTCTCCAAATAAATAAGTAAACAATCCAGCCTTTGGGAAATATATCAATATCAGACTAATTTGCGATTGTCTTGCCCTAAAAGCAATGAATTTCTTATTGTTAATCATTCTGGAAAAAAATTAATCCTACAATAAGCAATGAAGTTGTCTTTAAACAAGGAGAAAGAAAGTAAATATTGTTTTTTCTCTGAATTAGAAGTGGTCTGTCCCTTGGACTAAATAGAAGAAACACGTGTAACAGTTTACAGGGCTAAAGAAACAAGCTGCTTCTAGACTAGGGGGTGGGGGGAACAGGAGGAAGCACAGGAAGAGAGCCTGTGGCAAGTCAACCACAGAGCGGTGGGATCTGAGGAATTCTCTGGACCGTCCTCTTTTTCCATTGTCTCTGAACCAACAGTCAAGCCTCATTAAAAATTATGGACAAATACCTATGGCTATGCTCTAAAAATCTCAACAAGATGTATGCACAAAGTTGTTCAGTGCAGTATTGTCAATAAAAACAAACAAGTGGGCCAGCCTGTGTTGTAAATCCTACGTGTGGTTCACATAAATCTCACAGTGTGGTTCCGGTCCCAGATTTGCCAACTTGAGAAACACTGATTACCTATGTTCACATGCTCTAAACCCCAAAAGAAGGAAGAAAGGATTGTGGTGTGATCATTTCCCCCAGACGGATGCTTTCTCACTTTCTCTCTTTCTCTCTCTTCCTCTCCCCTGTGAGCACATGCAACCTTGGGCAAAAATTAAAAACAAACAAATAAGCAAAGTGTGAATCAATAAAGGATGATTAAATCAGGTATGATGCAATCACATGTTTGAACAGCACATAGTGAAAAATTAGCTATATCTTTATGTACAAATATGGAGAGGTCTCAAGATGCATGTGAAGAAAGTGAAATAGTCTTTGGGTTTTTTAAAGTATGTAGATAGTAGTTTTATGGGTAGGTAAATGGATTCATTTTTATATCCTAATATATACATAAATTTCTCTCAAGGGACTCTCAAGAAGCTTACAATAGTGGTAATTACAAGTTTCTACTGGGACACAGCTATGTTTTCCCTACTTGGCCAAGGAAGGTTTGATAGGCAGAATCTAACATGATCTACTGTGTTCTTTGGTGGACTGGGTTCTGGAAAAAGCCAAGCTAGTCATTTTGATGTGGTTGTTATGATGGGTCAGGGTCATCCCCTCTCTTCTGTGTCCTGTTACATGGTAATGTGTATCCCAGGTACTCTGAATCTCTCCCTTCTCACTTCTGGTCACACCCACGTCTCCTTCCCATCCATCACTGGTTGTGGGGTGTGACCAGGATACGGGGTGGAGGCCGTGCATACAGGTATGACACGCTTCCCACCACATTTGTAACCTGAAAGTAGGTCCCTTTGAAGTGTCCCTCAACTATTTCTAAGTTTCCTAAAGTATCATCTCACATGTGTCTAGGAATGAGTGGTTTAGGTTCTTCTTTTTTTTTAAGAATCATTTAATTTTCTTTCTTTCTCTTTTCCTTTCTTTCTTTCATTGTAATTTGACCAGAGAGGGACAGAGAGAGAAAGAGAAAGAGAGAGAGAGGAAGTGAGCAAGCAAGCTGCCAGGTCCAGGAATCAAACTGCCATCGGCCATATGGGAGTCCAGCTCCCTTAACCACCACGCCACCTGGCAGCCCCTGCTTTAGGTTCTATGTATAGGGTCCATCTTTGAAAAAGTCTGCTCTGTTATCTTGTAGACAATGTTTAAGAGTAGATGGGAATCAGCAGTTAGGGTAATGGCTATGTTGCTGGACTCCCATGTAGTCGAACGCGGTTCAAGTCCCAGACCCAGTGGCTTAAACTCACGCGGGGCGCATGTGCGCGCGTGTCCAAGTTCACGACAGGAGAATGAAGAAGAAGGGATTGTGGCGTGGCCATCCCCCCTGGGGGGGTGATTTCTCGCTTTCTGTCTCTCTGTCTTTCTCTGTCTTTCTGGTGAGCACACGCGCCCTATAGCAAAAAAATAAATAAATAAATAAAAGAGTAGAGACATATGAGAAAGTGAGCTTCTAAGTCACATCCAGCTACATAGAATTCAAGTGAGAAATCCTTATAAGAGCAACGTCTTCCCTCACCCTCTCCACAATTTTTTGCATGTTTGTCACTCCATCAAACTGTAAATTTGTTAAATGGCAAACTTCTCTCTCAATTGTTTCAGTCACTTTCTTCTTTTAATTGCCAAAGGGTGCATGTGCTAGACAGAAAGACAAAAAGGGGGAAGCACCTCCTAATAGGCTATGTTACACCACAATCCCTTCTCCATTTCTCCATCTAGTTGGGATTTGAATATGCACACAGCACGTTTTTAAGCCATGGGCGTGGGGATTTGAACTGCAGTCAGCCATGTGGGATCCAGCCCTCTTAACCACTAGACTATGGAACGTGTCATTAATAACTTTGTATTAACTATCTACTCAGCTTCACGATCTGGGGTAGGTTAGGACCTGGGCTATTCATGTTATACTTTGCCCCTGACTTCACAGAATTCAGTGTAAAAAAGGTCTAGACATTCCTCTAAAGTTCAGTGGGCAAGACACTAAAATGGAATGGTCTCAGAGGCATGAAGTGTAGCTGTCAGTGGAAGAACCATTATAAGGCCAAGTTCAAAGTCTGTTTATTAGCAGAGAAATCAAGAAGTGGGAAGAGGAGGAGGATGCCTTCAAAGCAAGGCCCCAATTTAATCAAAGGGTTCAAAGAACCAGGGCAGGCTAATCTCCAAAAAACACTAAGAAGATACTCACTTAAATCAAATGCTCTGAACACTAGCAAACAAATAACCTTACTTTAATGTCTAATCACTGTAGGCAGTTTTGCTATGGAAGGAGAAACTGCTGCGATAAATGAGGTCATTAAATGGTCAAGTTTAGCTCAGCTGTAATGCTTCTTTGTCCTCCTTTCTAGAGGTCAGCCTTCTTTTCTAGGAGCAGAGCCCACCCATGTATTACCTCCTTTTCTACAGTAAAGGGGTGGACAGTGTCACAGGGGTAGCCTAAAGTTAACCTAAAGGAAATAGCCAACCACCCAGAACTTAGTGTCAGTCCCACAACTGTCCCAACCGTGCTGAGTGTAAAGAATCTGGAAGGCAAGAAAGAGTGGGAGTGAACACGATCTTCCAGTTCTGGATAGCAATTCTGAGTTCAATGCAGCCTCTCCAAGGGAGAGGACTATACCTTACTCATCCCTGTATCTTGCATGTGGCACTGAAACATCTCCATACATGTTTGCAGAATGAATTAGTGAATGCCTTCCTGAACACTAGTCTAACCTGCTCTGTGCAGCGAGTAAACTTCGCTGAGGTCCTTAGATGAGCCATCACA